TATACACGAAATCACAGCTTCCCTATCTTCATCAACATTTAATAATTCCTCAAAATATTCCCTCCATCTTCCCAATACCTCTAACTCTCCATTTAATAACTCTCCTCTCCTATTTTTAACTGAGAAATCCATTTGTTCTCTAGGCTTCCTTAACTTGTTAATCTCACTCCAAAACTTTTTCTTATTTTCAACAAAATTTGTTGATAACATCTCACCCACTCTCTCATTTGCCCTCTTTTTACATTGCTTCACCACTCTTAACCTCTCTCTCTTTCTCCATATACTCTTCCCTCCCTGCATCACTTCTGCTTTGTAAAAACTTCTCTTATGCTAACTTTTTCTCCCTTACTACTCTCTTTACATCCTCATCCCACCAATCGCTCCTCTTCCCTCCCGCACCCACTTTCCTGTAACCACAAACTTCTGCTGAACACTCTAACACTACATTTTTAAACCTACTCCATACCTCTTCGACCCCATTGCCTATGCTCTCATTAGCCCATCTATCCTCCAATAGCTGTTTATATCTTGCCCTAACTGCCTCCTCTTTTAGTTTATAAACCTTCACCTCTCTCTTCCCTGATGCTTCCATTCTCCTTGTATCCCATCTACCTTTTACTCTCAGTGTAGCTACAACTAGAAAGTGATCTGATATATCTGTGGCCCCTCTATAAACATGTACATCCTGAAGTCTACTCAACAGTCTTTTATCTACCAATACATAATCCAACAAACTACTGTCATTTCGCCCTACATCATATCTTGTATACTTATTTATCCTTTTTCTTAAAATATGTATTACCTATAACTAATCCCCTTTCTATACAAAGTTCAATCAAAGGGCTCCCATTATCATTTACACCTGGCACCCCAAACTTACCTACCACACCCTCTCTAAAAGCCCAAACTTACCTACCACACCCTCTCTAAAAGTTTCTCCTACTTTAGCATTCAGGTCCCCTACCACAATTACTCTCTCACTTGGTTCAAAGGCTCCTATACATTCACTTAACATCTCCCAAAATCTCTCTCTCTCCTCTACATTCCTCTCTTCTCCAGGTGCATACACGCTTATTATGACCCACTTTTCGCATCCAACCTTTACTTTAATCCACATATTCTTGAATTTACACATTCATATTCTCTTTTCTCCTTCCATAACTGATCCTTCAACAGTACTGCTACCCCTTCCTTTGCTCTAACTCTCTCAGATACTCCAGATTTAATCCCATTTATTTCCCCCCACCGAAACTCTCCTACCCCCTTCAGCTTTGTTTCGCTTAGGGCCAGGACATCCAATTTCTTTTCATTCATAACATCAGCAATCATCTGTTTCTTGTCATCCGCACAACATCCACGCACATTCAAGCATCCCAGTTTTATAAAGTTTTTCTTCTCTTTTTTAGTAAATGTCTACAGGAGAAGGAGTTACTAGCCCATTGCTCCCGGCATTTTAGTCGCCTCATACGACTCGCATGGCTTACGGAGGAAAGATTCTTTTCCACAGACGATTGTGGACAGTTATTTTGTGAGACAGAAACAGATGACTGTGGATAGTTATTTTGTGAGACAGAAACAGAGGACTGTTGACAGTTATTTTGTGAGACTGGGGTCCAATGGCTCTTAAGCTGGTCCTAGTGGCATTAAAATACAGAGAAGGGAAGCAACCCCAGAGAGGGCTTTGATACCGGAAGTCCTCATGGAGGGGGATTCTCCTTCCAAACAATAGCCCCAACTCCCTCCCTCTCTCCTCCCTATCTTCCAGATGCCATCACCAATCTTCAATAAAGGTAAGTAAAAATGTAATTTTATATTACTATACATAATTAAAGACTATAGCATTTGTTGTGTGCATGTAAAACTGTAATTAATCTCTATAAAATGTATTTTTTTTTTTTATGAATATTTTTGGGTTTCTGGAACGGATTAATTGTATTCCCATTATTTCTTATGGGAAATATTGCTTCGAATTTCAGACTTTTCGAATTTAGAACTAGCTCCTGGAACGGAGTAAGTTCGAAATTTGAGGTTCCACTGTACGAGCAAATTGAGTTTTGAGCTCAGTCACAGAATGAATTAAACTCATAAGTCAAGGTACCACTGTATATTGTAATAAACAGAATAGAAGAAATCAGCTCTAATATACAAAATTTAGGTATGCATACTGGTGAGAGAGCCCATTGTAAGTTCGGGTCATCGGCAAACGAGTACGTTGCTAAGTGAGGCGAGGCTGTACTATACATTTATTGACGGGATAAACTTGTATTTAGTTGCAGTAATTACACCTACCATCCCACTTACGACCTGCTCAACATACAGTGGACCCCCGGTTAACGATATTTTTTCACTCCAGAAGTATGTTCAGGTGCCAGTACTGACCGAATTTGTTCCCATAAGAAATATTGTGAAGTAGATTAGTCCATTTCAGACACCCAAACATACACGTACAAACGCACTTACTTAAATACACTTACATAATTGGTCGCATTCGGAGGTAATCGTTATGCGGGGGTCCACTGTACTACCACTTGTACTTATGACCGTACGTCTGGCAGTAGGGTTGGGCGGGCCAATGCATACTGCCTTGTAACAGTTGACTGGATAGCTCTCACATCACTCGGGCAACATCACTTTGAGTTATCCTACCCTTTCAGCAGCATCATACTGTATTAAATGTACTGTACTGTATATACTATGTACCTGGACAGTAAATTTCACCATGGCCCCTATGAGGAAGTCTGAGGGGTTGTAAAATCAAGAATTTATTGCAGGTGATGGGTGGTTTAGGAGGTTTGACATTATGCCCTACCCAGAGGCATTGCTAGAGTTGGTGTCACCCGGGGCGGAATCTCTGTTGTCACCCGGGGCAGCATCTCTGGTGTCACCCCCATGAAATTCAAGGGTGGGAGGATGGGGGTTAAACTCCAGTTATGTCACTACTGCATGACCAGTGACTAATGTTTAACAATGAGAACATTTAAGGGCCATAAGCTGAACATGAGAATACTTCTCAACTTTATTAATGATAAAATAAATAATCGTAGTAATCTTGAGAAACATAAACTCAAATACCACTTTGAGTACAGCCAACACATCCTACATTTATTATTCTTCAACAAAACAAAACAAAAAAAAAAACTGAAAAATGAAGAAAAACATTGCAATATCAGAGAAACATTTGTTCTTATTTGAACTTGAGTACAGGTAGCATCTCAGTGAATCTGATCTTACATTTCCTTGCCTTCAATCCTGCAAAATCATCTACCACATCATCAAAATCAATGATTTTCCTTATTTAGGCTTATTTGTACTCTCTAATCATATAATAGGCTATATAGAAATGAAGGATTCTTCTCTTATGTTGGTGCAGCACTGTTTTTGGCATTAGTGTCACCACCTTTAGAGGCTCTATGGTGTCACCCCCTAAATGGCATCACCTGGGGCGGCCCCCCCCTCCTTACGACGCCTCTGGCCCTACCCAGTATGTTGGTAATTTTCTGAAGTTCGACTTGCATCCATTTTGACTTATGATCGGTTAGTTGGAACCACGCTTGGTTGTAAGTTGGAGTCTGCATAGCTTTTCTAGGTTGAACTCTTGGGCTAGTTTTGAGTTTTTAGATTTACAGTTCTGTGTATATAGAAGTGTTAGAAGACAATACAGCCTCTCCTCCCTTAGCGACATATTCGTTTACCAATGACTCAGGCTTATGACAGGCTCTTTGACCAGTATGCATACCTAAATAATGTATATTAGAGCTGATTTCTTGTATTCTGTTTAATACAATATACAGTACACTACTGTATAAATATTTAAAAAATATGCCAGAAATGTTTCAAATGGTGTAAAGGTGATTGATATTAAAACAATATCAAAGATGGTTAACACAAACCCACTACCATTATAGTATGCTTCTCACTTAGCGATGAATTTGTTTACTGACGTGGTCTTAGGAATGGAATTCTGTCGTTAAGTGAGAAGAGGTTGTACGTACACGCCTGCCAGCTCACCCTACATCATTAATTGGTTCCAAGAGCCATGACTTAACCCGGTTTTTGATGTAAACCAGACATAGCACCTTAAAAGGACGACAGACACTGTTGGTAAACCCCAAAGAACACTAAAAACACATTTTTGTCATCATTTTTAAAGAATAATGAACGTGATTAAAATAATTATGACATAGGTGACATTGCTGAGTGACATAAAGTTGGACGTAATGACGTTTGTTGAACTGAAATTTACTCTAGAAAAGTGGCATAAAGACAAATTTGATGTAGGTCGAAATGATGTAAAGTGGAGTATGAGTCTATTTTTTCTTTTAACACACTGGCAGTCTCCCACCAAGGCAGGGTGAAACACCCCCCCCCCTCCCCCCCCCCCAAAAAAAAAAAAAATGCTTTCATAAAGTTTTTTAATTTTGCATTTAGTAATTTATACAGGAGAAGGGGTTACTAGCCCCATGTTCCCAGCATTTTAGTTGCCTCTTATGGTATTGCTTGGCTTACAGAGGAAGGATTCTTCTCCACTTCCCTACAGAGAACGATAAAATACATGTATATTAAAATTAAATACTATTAACATAATATAACCTGCTAAATAATTTTTCTTGTTAATACACTGTATTTACTGTTTCACTTATGTATTTACTAAAGATAAAAGCTCAAACAGATAGTTCAAGTGAATTGTTTTGTAAATCACTGTTGATCTGTTTTAAATTTTTTTTTATCCACTGTGGTACCTCGGGATACAAACAATTATGTAAGTGTATTCATATAAATGCTTTTGTAAGTGTATTTTTGGGGGTCTGAAACGGATTAATCTAATTTATGTTATTCCTTATGGGAACAAATTCCTTCGGTATCAGCACTCGAACATCCTTCTGGAACGAATTAAGTTCGTATCCTGAGGTACCACTGTATCTTCAAATTTGGCTTGTTACTAACTTTTTTTTCAGATACTTTTATATATATATATCAGTTTCTTTCCCATTTTTACATAGGCAATAGCTCAAGTTTCTGGCATAGGTCACAGTGCTGCTGATTGGCTCAGAGGCTCGGATGTCCAAAAGTTTGCATCCCAGGTTGCAGCTGGACCACAGGTACTTTATACATAGTGTGTGCATGTGCGCACAGGTGCTTGTGTGGCATGTGTGCATACATGTGCATGTGTGTGTGTGTGTGTGTATTTATATTGGACAATGCCAGGGTAAAATAACCAATTTTTTTTTATTTAACTTCAAGACAAGACAACCAGTGTCTAATACCATATTGTGTAAAATTATATAAATAAAAATGTGCTCAGGTGTGGTAGTGTTGTCGCTTAGTGAATAATGAAATAATTCAAATAAATTTTGTTATTGTAAAAGTATGTAATGTGTAGGTAATTGTCATTTAGGAATGTGTACTTTTGCATCAGTTGCAGTGCTCATGGAGACTGCACTTGCTGCTCTGCCACATAGTAAACAGATTGTAATAACATGATTGCAAATGAATCATGGAACTGGTTAATGCACTAGCCTGCAAGTTTTAGGACACACTTGCCATTGGCTCAAACCCCACCCATTCCGTGGTTATTAAAATGGTTATTTACACCTTGGGAAATAGATACAAATTTATGTTTTTTTTATATAAAACTAAATCATATGGAGCTATGTTAATTTCAGAAATAGCAAAAACAATAGCTGTTTGGAGAATGGCATTTAAAAAATTAAGCCTATAGTTTGTTATCATTGATTTCAGGTTTCTGCTCCTGGCCCCATCCCCATTCCCGGAGCTACATACACAGACATGCCAATTTCAAACATTCGCAATGTTATAGCAAAGAGACTATGCTTGTCCAAACAGGTGAGTAAAAAGCTAGTTTTCACTGAAGTAAAAAACAAATGTGTTTATTAGGGCATACACGAGGTGTTTTTCAGTGTGCTGTGAAGGTTATCCCTGGAGATTTTTGTTTGTTGTAATGTAAGATGCAGTACATTAGTTATAATAGCCAACGTTTTCTTGAATTCTGTATTTTCTGATGCTCGGAAACTTGACGTTTAGTGTCGTAAATCTTCATGAATTTACCGATATACCGCATGGACAATCATCTTTTTCATTAACAAAGAGCACTACGGCTGGAATAATTTTCAAATAATCCACATTTTGGAGAGAGTACTTTGGTCTGCCATCATTAGGTCATGAGTTTGACTTGATAATGGTAAAGGATTGACAAAATGTTTAACCATTCCTTTCCAGAGTTTAGATAAGTTATTAATTCACTTCAACTTTCATTTCCAGCACTGTGTCCTCTTTTGGTAAATGAACTTTATTTGTCTTCTTATGAATAATTACATCGTTGTGTAAGTGGGGAGCAATGATAAAAGCTTCGGAGGCTTCTTTCTTTATTTGCGAGATCGTGGGTACACAGGCAGTGTGTTTGTTTTCAGGCCCCGAGGGGGCCATACCCAGCGAGGGAGAGAGGAGTGGCAGGTGTCGACTCTGGGTTACATTAGCATCAAGTGAGAGAGAGGCAGGTCTGGGCATACCCACCCAGAGACCTGCCCCCTAGTGGGAACTAAGGGAACTAGGCATGTAGGCTTACAGTCTACATATTAGCCTAAATCTGTATCTCCTGAGGTTAATACATCATTTAATTACATAAATTAATTGATAAAAGCATGTCTTACTAATTCACGGTATGTAGTAATCCTGTGACTTGAGACTACATGAGCATTATATATGGCCCCCCTCCCTCATCATGAGCACTGTGGGGAAGGGTTCATGACCCCACTTGCTCTTCCCCTATCACAAATCTCTTGTCACTTTTTTCGGGACGGATATTGGCTGTTTGGAGTGACATCTAAACTGTCATATCTGGGTACCTCAACAAAAACAGTGATTTTGTGCCAGTGATGGTGAAAGGTTGAATGATTGTGAAAGTGTTTCTTTCTCTTTTGGGTCACCTGCGTTGGTGGGAGACTGCCGACGCGTTAAAAAATAAATTAACAGGACTTGTTAGGATATTCTGCTTTGTATCCCAAGGTTGAGACTAGCAGTCATGAAGTCTTCAGACCTGGAAAAATTTGGAGTCCGGTGTCAAGGAAGTTGTGATGAAATTAAACCTTCAATGTTCCATCATCCAAATAATGGAGGGATCAGGATGTGCTGATGGTTTGTTATATATAGACCCTTTCTAAATTTTACTCCTGTGAACTTTTACCACAACTTGCAGTGTTTTATGAATTTTTGAAAGCAAGTCTAAAGAGTCTTGAACTACAATATGCATTAATAATGTAGATTTCTTTGGATTTTTCATATGATATTTTTTACACTGCTTCATATCACAATTGCTTTCTCCCCTTGGAAAGTGGTTAGAGCTCACTGATTTGTTACTTGAGAATAATGAAGAGTTCTGTTGGTTAGAGGCAGTGTCAACAGTTTCAAGTGCCCTGATTGGGTTCTGGGTTCTTCCAGATGTGAGCCCTGGATGGGACCAAGTTAATAGACATAGTAATAAACATTCTGACTTGGGGGTGAGACTGCAGATACCTGCAGTGCTAGCATCAGCATCTCATAGACATGAACACTATAGATAGAAAGTGGTGATAGGTTTCAAGTGGAGGAGAGATGTGACAATCATAATGTAGAACTGTATTTTGGCAGAGGTGTGGAGGTCTGTTTAAAAATGCTTTAACTACTGTATCTTTTATCCTGGAGATGCTTCTGCAAACAGCGGCTTAGAATGTATTTGTTTCTGTCATAAATGTTTATTCAGTACAAAATATGCATCATACAATAATTCTACATTCTTTATCAATTTTTCTTTGGCTAGAGCATCCCGCATTACTACCTAAGCATAGACGTGTGTATGGACGAGGTGTCACAACTACGACAAGAATTTAATAAACTCTTGGAGAAAGAGGGTATAAAAATTTCCTTCAATGACTTCATCATCAAGGCTTCTGCGCTGGCATGCAAGAAGATCCCCGAAGCTAACTCCTCGTGGCTGGACACTGTAATCAGGCAGTATGTGGAGTAATGTGTATGAATTTTGTAGTATTTTTTTTATCATATCAATCATTTGTATATTTTTATATATTCCAGTGTAATATGGTGAAATAATTTTTTTTTTTTATTAACACGTTGGCCGATTCCCACCAAGGCAGGGTGGCCCGAAGAAAAAACTTTCATCATCATCACTCCATCACTGTCTTGGCAGAAGGGTGCTTTACACTACAGTTATAAAACTGCAACATTAACACCCCTCCTTCAGAGTGCAGACACTGTACTTCCCATCTCCAGGACTCAAGTCCGGCCTACCGGTTTCCCTGAATCTCTTCATAAATGTTACTTTGCTCACACTCCAACAGCACGTCAAGTATTAAAAACCATTCGTCTCCATTCACTCCTATCAAATACGCTCATGCACGCTTGCTGGAAGTCCAAGCCCCTCGCACACAAAACCTCCTTTACCCCCTCCTTCCAACGCTTTCTGGGCTGACCCCTACCCTGCCTTCCCTCCACTGCAGATTTATACACTTTTGAAGTCGTTCTGTTTTGTTCCATTCTCTCTACATGTCCGAACCACCTCAACAACCCCTCCTCAGCCGTCTGGATAATAGTTTTGGTAATCCCACACCTCCTAATTTCTAAACTATAAATTCTCTGCATTATATTCACACCACATATTGCCCTCAGACATGACATCTCCACTGCCTCCAGCCTTCTCCTCGTTGCAACATTCATCACCCATGCTTCACACCCAGACAAGAGTGTTGGTACAACTATACTCTCATACATTCCCCTCTTTGCTTCCACAGACAAAGTTCTTTGTCTCCACAGACTCCTAACTGCACCACTCACCCTTTTACCCTCATCAATTCTATGATTCACCACCTCCTCCATAAACCCATCTTCTGACACGTCCACTCCTAAATATCTGAATACATTCACCTCCTCCACACTCTCTCCCGCCAATTTGATATTCAATCTTTCACCACCTAATCTGAAATAATTTTATACAGAAAAAATACTATAAGTTGTTTGTATTCTGCATGTATTGTGTGTATTAAATTTTCATCCATTCTTTAACCTGTAAACGGTCCAAGCAGATCTACGTTCACATGTGTAGTGCTACAAAAGTAGATCTACGTTTTTTTTACATATTTTCAAATATCACAAAAAAAAAGTAGATCCAAGTTTTTTTTACACATTTTCAAATGTAAAAAAACAAAAAGATCTACTTTTTTTACATACTTTCAAATGTTGAAAAAACGTATATATACGTTTGGACCGTTTACGGGTTAAAGGTAGAGGTTAATTCTCTCTGTACAGTGAATGGCAGAAACTAGTTGAGTTGCTACACTCATTATATACATATACAGTGGACCCCCGGTTAACAAACTTTTTTCATTCCAGTAGTATGTTCAGGTGCCAGTACTGACCGAATTTTTTCCCATAAGGAATATTGTGAAGTAGATTAGTCAATTTCAGACTCCCAAACATACACGTACAAACGCACTTACATAAATACACTTACATAATTGGTCGCATTTGGAGGTGATCGTTATGCGGGGGTCCACTGTACTGTAATGAGTTGTTGCACTCATATACATATACTGTAATGAGTTGCTACACTCATTATTTACATATACTGTAATGAGTTGCTACACTCATTATATACATATACTGTACATATTGTGGGGATGTTGCGGGAGAAGTTAATCTGTATTGTGATGTCAGCACAGGGGGACAGGTTTCGAAGACTTATGTTGTATCATGAATATGATGTAATTTGATGTGATTTATTATGATGCATACATTATTCTCCTGAATACTGTATAATTTGATAAATCTAATTGATTGCTTGGATGATTAATGTGTCCTACAAATTGATTAATATTTTTGGCAGATATAATAATGTAGATGTGAGTGTCGCAGTCAGTACAGATCGTGGCCTCATCACCCCCATAGTATTTAAAGCAGAACAAAAAGGCCTTGCTACCATTGCCACTGATGTCAAGGCTCTTGCAGCAAAGGCTAGAGAAGGAAAACTCCAGCCTCATGAGTTTCAGGTGTGTAATATGTTAATGTGGTTATTAAAAATTACAGTGGTACCTTGGGATACAAATAGCTCAAAACTCTAACAATTATGTAAATGTATTTATGTAAGTGCTTTTGTAAGTGTATTTTTGGGGGTCTGAAATGGATTATTCTAATATACATTATTCCTTATGGGAACAAATTCGTTCGGTATCAGCACTCGAACAGCCATCTGGAACGAATTAAGTTCATATCCAGAGGTACCACTAAATTAATGTATAGCAGTGGCCGCACATGTGAAGAGTTTCTTGGCACCTCTGTGCAGCTTGTTTTGTCAGATCCTGTTAGCAAATGCCTCTTGATTAATTAGACCATTTATTGGAGATCATGTAGAATTCATTTTAAGTCTATTTTTCAGTACCTAAGCTGTTCCCTTTACTGTTTTCCTTTTAGAAAGCCCTACTTTGAGTACAGTCGCACACCGACTGTTTGTTTGAGACTTATTTATTTCAACTTTAACTTTCCTTGTTATTTCATGAGTACAGATGTCAAATAGTTTCACTTTTCTGATAGAACCCCTCAGCCTGGTAGTATTTTATGACCCATATAGGTTGGGCTTGTTTTGTCACTCATGTTGCAACTATAGATGCTTTCTCATGTCATTTCAGATCACTATAAGGCATTACGAGCTATGCAGATATTTCACTCCACATCCCAACATGCTTCATATACAGCAATGCTTATTTTTTCTCCCCCTCTCTCCCCTCCTGACATTTAGGACAATAAACATGCAGGCTCAGCTGGTCAGTTGGCTATTCACAATCTGTATATCCACCAGAGTGGAGGGGATTTTTCCTCTCAAATTATTTTTAAGCACACTCTCTGTAACTCTAAAACCTCTGACAACAGCGTTGATCTGAATTTCAGAACAACAAAATGATTTCCATCAAATTGCAGTTGGGTTCCTGGCAAATTTCTTGCCATTACTGTTGGGTGTGGGAAATTGTGCTCGCATGATTACAAATCGGACATGCGTGAATACCATATGGAAAGATGCCTGGTTCCTTTGGGCAAGGATTACGTCATCGGAATTCGTAATATTCGGAATAAGTAACATTTTTTTCGTCAAAATATTGGCTCGGTGATCATCGTTGAACTCGGTATTAGTCATTCGCCCCCAAACATGCCCGAGCAGTCCGACACACCATTTACAGCCAGTATGCCATTGTTTATCAGCCAGTGAAGACAATCACACGCATTCATACGATATATTTTGTATTATTCCATTCTTTTTAGTGCTTGCAACTGCTAAATAAGCCACCATGGGCCCAAAGAAAGCTTCTAGTGCCAGCCAGCCCTTTGGTAAAGGGCTGAGAGAGGGGGAGAATGTGCCCTTTTCAGTGATTCTGCAATATGTACGATACTAAAGCAGCAGGAGTTGATAAAGACTATAGCGCCAGCCAGCGATAAAATGTAGCGTTAACAGTGTAGCAAGTAAGTTAAGCGATTAATAGATAGAAAAAGGTCAGCACAAAAGTGACTCCTCCATTGTTGTTGGAGGTATATAGGGCTACTGACTAACACCACCGCCTCTGGTGCCTCTTGCTGCCGCCTTCACCACCACTATGTAAGGCTTATCTTTCAGTGGCCCTTATACACCCAGCAACAAACAACACACCACCACTCATGACATTCTTAATGCCATATTTTATTCATTCTAGAGTATATATCATGTTTCTATGATATTAATATTGTTTATTATGGCATAGTAGGTGAATTGTGCTAGATAAATAAGCCGTAGAGCTGATATTAGTGTCATATTGAAGAACTATCTTGTCCTGTCTCTCAACACAGTTCCTAACATATGCCAGAAACAAACATCTCTGGAACAATTTTTTGAGTGACAGGGGTCCAGTGACTCTCAAGCTGGTCCTAGTGGTATCAAAAAACAAAGAAGGGAAGTAACCCAGGATAAGGGCTTGGTACCTGAAGTCTTTATGAAAGAGGATTCCCCTTCCAAACAATTGTAAACTCCTCCATCCTCTCCTCTCCTCCCGTCTTCTATACATCACCATGTCTTCAATAAAGGTAAGTGTGATGTTATTATTGTTTTATTCTTCATGTATCATTGGTTTCTGTGTAGGTAAATGTATATTTCCTAGGTAGTAGGTTGGTAGACAGCAACCGCCCAGGGAGGTACTACCGTCCTGCCAAGTGAGTGTAACACGAAAGCCTGTAATTGTTTTACATGATGGTAGGATTGCTGGTGTCCTTTTTTCTGTCTCATGAACATGCAAAATTTCAGGTACGTCTTGCTACTTCTACTTACACTCAGGTCACACTACACATACATGTACAAGCGTATATATACACACCCCTCTGGGTTTTCTTCGATTTTCTTTCTAGTTCTTGTTCTTGTTTATTTCCTCTTATCTCCATGGGGAAGTGGAACAGAATTCTTCCTCCGTAAGCCATGCGTGTTGTAAGAGGCGACTAAAATGCTGGGAGCAAGGGGCTAGTAACCCCTTCTCCTGTATATATTACTAAATTTGAAAGGAGAAACTTTGGTTTTTTCTTTTGGGCCACCCCGCCTCGGTGGGATACGGCCGGTGTGTTGAAAGAAAGAAAGAAATGTATATTTCATGTAGAAAACATTAAACATTTTTTTTTAAAACTTTAGGGTGTCTGAAATGGATTAATTGGATTTCCGTTATTCCTTATGGGGAAAATTAATTCGGAATTCGTCAGATTCGAGTTTAGTCACTCTCTCTGGAACAGATTAATTATGAAAACCGGGGGTCCACTGTATTAATGAACTGTTCTATCAGAGAACACAGAGGCTTCATTTTTAATATTGCCCTAATAGGCTTTGACTGTCTTTCTTGCTGAATGTTCTACCTTTAGCATAGTCTTCCTTTCTGATACAGCAGAAACTAGAGTACCACCTATAGCATTAAGTTTTCACCCTCGTTAATCCCTACCCTTACGACCCATTCCAGTGCTGCTCTGTACATCTCATACAAGTTAAACGATTGTGTTTTTGCTATAATAATCTGGCTCGTGCAATTCACCTGTGAGTTGCATATATATATATATATATATATATATATATATATATATATATATATATATATATATATATATATATATATATATATATATATATTATATATATATATATATATATATATATATATATATATATATATATATATATATATATATATTTAGTTAGTTAGTTAGTTAGTTAGTTAGTTAGTTAGTACATGCTTTCATTATATGTCATCATTATTACCTTTCAACTTTCAGGGTGGCACATTCTCCGTCTCAAATCTTGGTATGTTTGGTGTGAAGAACTTCAGCGCTATTATTAACCCTCCACAGTCTTGTATTCTGGCTGTGGGAGGAACTGAGAAGAGGCTCGTTGTTGATGAAGAGTCTGAGCAAGGGTAAGAGTGATGCAGTCTTGAATAAGACACATTGCCATGGCTAGAACAATTCACAAATAACCTGCTCCTGGGAGAGAAAGCTTATGATATTTCGGTCCATCCTCAACCATTGTTAACCTTTTGACTGTCGCAACCCCCAATCCTGAAGTGTCTCCTGGTGATGCAAAATTTAAAAAAAAAAAAAAATATTTTTTCTTATGAAATGATAGAGAATCTTTTCCCGATTGTAATGGCACCAAAAAAAAACGAAATTTGATGGAAAACTGACGGAATTATGCTCTCGCAAAGTTAGCAACCTCGGCGCTGTTTACAAATCGGCGATTTCACCCACTTTGAGCCCTATTTTCGGCTAATTCCGTTGTTCCAGTTGCCCAAACTCATAGCTATTTCTTTAGAACTCCATTTTTTCTATCGATTGAGTACAAGAAACTGCCCATTTACCGACTTCAACTACCTAATAATGTGGTCAGAAATTTGCAATTTGGCCAATTTCACGAAAACTAAAAAGTATGACAATTTCAAAATAAGGTCCAGAATGAACAATGCAGACATTCCTGGCTCTAAAATAACATTTTCTTTGCTCATCAATCATGTCTCCAGGCCCCTCTGATATTACTCTTGCTTTCTATTTTGAATTTTCATTCAAACAAAAAATAGAAGACTTTCTATTATGCAGACTACTGCAATACTGTAATAATTGTATAAATAACATCAACCCATTCATGACTGCATATTAGATTGGCTAGTTGGACATTTATTGGACAATGGCATCATTTGTTTACTTTTGAACATTGGCAAAAATCAAACATTTCTCCTACTTTGAGCTCCATTTCTAGGTTCTTTTTATAGTAAAATCAATCAAAATCACCTCTATTTCTATAATATGTTTTCCATTCTATCAAATGAGACCAAGAAAACGAGAATACAACCATAAATACTATACGAAAATAGACCACAAAGTCGGCATTTTAATTAAAAAAACGGTCGGAGTTTTTTTTTTCTCATTATGCACTGCGTACTCCAGGATTTTTTTTATATGGTGCACACTGACCACACAGACCCATTCTCTCACATGTGGGCCTACCAGCTTTCTCCTGCTTGATTTGAAGCCGCTAGAATTTATGTGGTGGAGGTACGTGAGGCATTACGTAGAATGAAAGGGGGTAAAGCAGCTGGAACTGATGGGATCATGACAGAAATGTTAAAAGCAGGGGGGGATATAGTGTTGGAGTGGTTGGTACTTTTGTTTAATAAATGTATGAAAGGGGAAGGTACCTAGGGATTGGCGGAGAGCATGTATAGTCCCTTTATATAAAGGGAAAGGGGACAAAAGAGATTGTAAAAATTATAGAGGAATAAGTTTACTGAGTATACCAGGAAAAGTATACGGTAGAGTTATAATTGAAAGAATTAGAGGTAAGACAGAATGTAGAATTGCGGATGAGCAAGGAGGCTTCAGAGTGGGTAGGGGATTTGTAGATCAAGTTTTTACATTGAAGCATATATGTGAACAGTATTTAGATAAAGGTAGGGAAGTTTTTATTGCATTTATGGATTTAGAAAAGGCATATGTTTAGAGTGGATAGAGGAGCAATGTGGCAGATGTTGCAAGTTTATGGAATAGGTGGTAAGTTACTAAATGCTGTAAAGAGCTTTTATGAGGATAGTGAGGCTCAGGTTAGAGTGTGTAGAAGAGAGGGAGAATACTTCCCGGTAAAAGTAGGTCTTAGACAGGGATATGTAATGTCACCATGGTTGTTTAATATATTTATAGATGGGGTTGTAAAAGAAGTAAATGCTAGGGTGTTCGGGAGAGGGGTGGGATTAAATTATGGGGAATCAAATTCAAAATAGGAATTGACACAGTTACTTTTTGCTGATGATTCTGTGCTTATGGGAGATTCTAAAGAAAAATTGCAAAGGTTAGTGGATGAGTTTGAGAATGTGTGTAAAGGTAGAAAGTTGAAAGTGAACATAGAAAAGATTAAGGTGATGAGGGTATCAAATGATTTAGATAAAGAAAAATTGGATATCAAATTGGGGAGGAGGAGTATGGAAGAAGTGAATGTTTTCAGATACTTGGGAGTTGACGTGTCGGCGGAATGGATTTATGAAGGATGAGGTTAATCATAGAATTGATGAGGGAAAAAAGGTGAGTGGTGCGTTGAGGTATATGTGGAGTCAAAAAACGTTATCTATGTAGGCAAAGAAGGGAATGTATGAAAGTATAGTAGTACCAACACTCTTATATGGGTGTGAAGCTTGGGTGGTAAATGCAGCAGCGAGGAGACGGTTGGAGGCAGTGGAGATGTCCTGTCTTAGGGCAATGTGTGGTGTAAATATTATGCAGGAAAATTCGGAGTGTGGAAATTAGGAGAAGGTGTGGAGTTAATAAAAGCATTAGTCAGAGGGCAGAAGAGGGGTTGTTGAGGTGGTTTGGTCATTTAGAGAGAATGGATCAAAGTAGAATGACATGGAAAGCATATAAATCTATAGGGGAAGGAAAGAGGGGTAGGGGGTCGTCCTTGAAAGGGTTGGAAAGAGGGGGTAAAGGAGGTTTTGTGGGCGAGGGGCTTGGACTTCCAGCAAGCGTGCATGAGCATGTTAGATAGGAGTGAATGGAGACGAATGAACTTGGGACCTGACGATCTGTTGGAGTGTGAGCAGGGTAATATTTAGTGAAGGGATTCAGGGAAACCGGTTATTTTCATATAGTCGGACTTGAGTCCTGGAAATGGGAAGTACAATGCCTGCACTTTAAAGGAGGGGTTTGGGATATTGGCAGTTTGGAGGGATATGTTGTGTATCTTTATACGTATATGCTTCTAAACTGTTGTATTCTGAGCACCTCTGCAAAAGCAGTGATAATGTGTGAGTGTGGTGAAAGTGTTGAATGATGATGAAAGTATTTTCTTTTTGGGGATTTTCTTTCTTTTTTTGGTCACCCTGCCTCGGTGGGAGACGACCAGCTTGTTGAAAAAAAAAAAAAAGTGGGGAATTATCACTTTTTCACTGATGGGAAGCACTTCATGGCTTCTCTTAGGCTTTAAAGAACTGTCATCATCATTATTTCTGTACTTTGGTGTTATTACTGAGCGAAATTTTGGGTTATTTTTGGGCCACAGTAAACCCTGGATAACTGAAACCGTGGAAATTGAACCCATGGGGTTCTACTGTATATATTTTTTTTCCTTTTGTGTTTTCTGCACGGCTAATTATCTCTATTAATTTTTTTTCAGGTTCCGTGTTGCTCACATTATGTCAGTCACGTTAAGTTGTGACCATCGCACGGTAGACGGTGCTGTTGGGGCACAGTGGTTGGCAGCATTCAAAAAATATTTAGAAAAGCCATCAACTATGATATTGTAAATCGGTTGTCTGAGGGGGTTAGAATAGTAGAACATTATTTATTTTTTAATCATGTCAAAGTAGACGAGCTGAAAACTTTGTTGTAAATATATATTATCCATGCAGGAAGCTTTGCATTTCTGCATTATTGCCAGTAGGATGCATACTGATGCCCTCCTACACTCATGCACATTCATATATTTATACATTTTGTTATGGTGTTTGTTAAATTCTTGGTTATAAGCCTTTCAGAAAGTTCCACATTTTCTAAAGAGTTATTGATTGTAAATATATTTGTAAATTCTCTACTACTTTATATGATTACCCTCTATTAATTAGGCCTTTTTTAACTAGGGTAAATAGCGAATATTTTTTTAAAAGGGATATACTACATTGAGATGTTGGACGTATTGTTTTTTATCTATGCACACAATGCAACAGTCGGTCATTTGTATTATCTTGTATAACATGTAGAATAAAAGGAAGTATATTGCCCCATCAGATGGATTTACAGTTGAAAAGATGTAGAAATATGTAGTTAAGAGTTTTCTTAGTTACAAAAAGAATTGTGCTCATGTGAATATTGGAAAAATGTAAATAAGAGTTAAATGCCGTATATATTACTTCAAATGACTGGTATATGATATTAAATTGCAAATTTAAGGATTATATGAGTTGATATTAATTCCGGGGGTTTACATTAAGTTGTCAAAGGTTGCTTTCATCTTCATCGCTGTGGTTGTTTCACGTAACAAACATCGTCACTCCAGACATTACAAGTTACAGGACTTATCTACCTATATGTTTGAATGAACCATTTCCTGTATCAAGGAGGGCCTTTGATGTTACTGTCAATCTGTGTCTTGCCATTTGCCCCAAAAGTTGTGGGGTATAATGCTAGCCAATGTATGTTGCTGTGTTAGGATCATTTACAACTCCTGGAGGAGTGACTGGGGCTCGGCTTTTGTGCTGGACGGCACTGCATGATTTTGCAGTTTTCTGTTGTTTGTTGGTTATTGAATAAAGTTCAGAATGAAGAATTAAGCTGCTACATTTGTTTGACAGAGTACAACTTGCCTTTGTAATGTGTTCAAAGACATTGTATATTCTGCATTTTGGAAAATGCACAATAAATACCCAAGTGCCTTTTGCATTTACACACGTCTTTGGAGGAGCTAGAAGCTGTGTGTAAATGCCCATAAGAGATTGGGTGTTTTTCTGGTGTTTTTTCCATATACAATAAATCCTTGATTTAATGAAACCCAGTTTAATGTACAAGACTTAAGAAATGTGGGGGCAAAATCCACTTGGTCAGTTAATTTGGAAGCAAATGACAAAGTTCATTGCTTACAGAATTGTCCGATTGTGGCAATCATGGCAATAAAATCTTGCCTCTGTCCACAACAAAAACTTATTGATCATTTGCTCCCGTTTTTATTAGTTTAAGTCTGGGGTTTAATGTATATACATAATACATATATGCAGTACATTTGTAAACAGGCAATCTCAAAATAGAGAACAAGCCAAAGACTTCCATTCCCATGTTGCTTGTTCTGCATACATATTTTAACATGATGGCTGTTTCTCACCGAGGCAGGGTGACCTGAAAAAAAGAAAGAAAATTTTTCTTTTTACATTCAGTAATTTATACAGGAGAAGGGGTTACTAGCCCCTTACTTCCAGCATTTTAGTCTTTTAAAACATGCATGGCTTACAGAGAAAGGATTCTTTTCCACTTACCCATGGTGGGAATATTTGCAGGTTAGAAGAACATTTGAAATGTAGTCGTCGTGCCTATGTCAAGACAACGATGGAGTGAATGATGGTGAAAGTTTTTTTTTTCAAGTTCTCTTACCTCAGTGGGGGACAGTCAGTGCATTAAAAAAATAGTCATGCATTTTTTTAGGTATTTCTTACAATCACTGCATTTTATTTAAGATTTTGTACCTATTTAGCACTGATGAGGATATCGCTTAAAATTTCTCCTGGTTTAACTGGCAAATGGTGCCAACAATGAGACGGTTCACGGATCACGCCTTTAGTTTAGTGTTATTTGGCTTGACACTGAATTTCTTTAAGCTGAAATGAGTGGAACATAAGAAAGATTTACTCTGCAAATGCACTCTTCATAATTCATTGATAAATGTTGCTGTGGTCATGTCCCCAGTTTTTTCCTGGCCGTTTTAAAGATCCAAATGTCTGGGAAGAAAAGGTGTAAGATATTGTATATTCAGATGTTATATACACAAATAAAATTTGTGTTATACAAGGTATTTGATTCTTTACCTTGTAGGTTTTTATATTTTAGAATCCTAATCTAGTTTAAAAATGCGAAGTTAATAATTATTGTTTTCCCACTTTATGTGAATTCGCTTTTATTCTGCAACTCGTTTTTATCACATTCTAAATGTCTCGCGGGGGTCCATTGCCTTAGCAAAAGGGTTCTCTAATGCAAAAGTTGACTTGTCCTCCCTTTCCTTGAATCTGATTGCCCTTCATTCACCAGATGCTGCACGACCCATACGGATCAGTGTTCCCCCTGTAAGTACATCCAAATTCAAACTCCTATCAGCTGTGCCTGGTATGGCCATATACTTCAAGACTTACACCCTACAGTATTAATGTAATTACCTCCCAGACCTCTAGGCACTGTATAATCCTCCATAGATTTATAACACATCAGTACCATCATTTCTGAATTCATTATCTCAATTTATCCATTGGTTTTTCACCTAAATAATAATTCACAAATCATACATTTGTAATTATTTATTATAAAATACAGTAATTGTAGTCATTATATTAGTAAAGACAAAATCTCTTAATTTAAAGAAATTTAAATGATAATGGCCTCTTCAAGGGGGGGCTCCTTGGCGTGGTGAAGAGGCTCTTGGTCTGAGGAATTAGACCTGTCGGTCTACTTCCTCAGACCGAACCTAATTACCCCCCAATCCCCGTTCCCTATCCCATCCTCCCCATCCTCCCCTTTTTCCTTTCCTCCTCCTCCTCCCCACCCCTCCCTTTTGCCCTTCCTTTTTGGCCTTTTTTTTTTTTTTTTTTTTTTTCTCCCACAGGCACGCTAGTTCCTAGGTAGGGGAAAGGGTACCGGGGTCCATCCCATTCCGTTGAGGTTCTTGGCAGTGGTGTAGTTTGCCGTGGAATCTGGATTGCCTGGGGATGTCCTGATCCCTCTCCGGTATCCCGGAGGGTGGCTTTGGGTGTCTCTCGGGCGACGGGTGTATCTCTGGAAGCCACCTTTCGGATTCCGGGGGTGGTGGCCGAAGGAGGTATGCTTTGTGGCGGATTTCCGGCTGCCCTCTCTTTTGTCCACCGAGGTAGCTCGGCAGATGTGAGGTTGCTATCCCGGATTGCCGGTTTACCGGCATGATGGGTAGGGTATGGCACGGGTTCCATGCTGCATCTGCGCTACTTGCGGTGCTGAGGTCCTCTTGGGCGCGGAGGGAGATTTCTGGCCTTTCATTCCTCCTAGGAACTATCCCTCCCCGGTTCCCCTTTTTTTATTCTTTTTTTTATTTTTATTTTCTTTTCTTTTTTTTTTCTTAAAAACAAAAAGAAAGAAGTAACCTAACCATGGCAGCCCTAGTCCATGAACCTGCTACCCCCCGGCCCCTTCTTGATACCGCACCCCGTTCTGACCCCGCCTTTGTCTTTGGACCACTCTTCGGACACTCCTCATGCCTCTGTACCTCTTGCCGGTGCTGTTTCCTCACCCGCTTCAGGTACTGAGGCCTCGACTGACTCCTTCGATTGATCTGACCTTCGCTCTCCTCTGCTATGCTCGGCCTCTCCCTCTACGGTGCGGCAATTTTCGAATCCCCGGGCCTGTTCCACTTCGGCCCAAAACTCTGGTCCCACGCCTAAATGACAACGACAGTTCCTGCTGATGATACGTACCCACTTTCTCGTTCTTCTAGAAAAGTTTCGACACGTCCTTCACTACCTTTCCACGTTCAGTTTCAGACTGCACAATGGACTAAATTCTTCACTTTACGACCGACTTCCTCTACTGCCCTATCTTTCTGACCACAGTATTGGCAAGGCACTCCTATGCCATGTTGGTAAAGAAATTTCTTTTCATGCTCTTAAGAGCGGTACGCGAAATCGTCACCATACAGAATGCTACCCAGGCTCATGAGCTTTCTCGTCTTTCCCATATCGATACTGTTCCTGAAAACTATTGAAAAGCATCATTCCCTCAATTCTTGTAGTGGTACCATCATTCTGCCCCTTACCATAGTTCAACAAAATTTCCAGACATGTGGCACTGACTTTTCTTGAACAGCTGGAACTCCAAGATCTCCCAATCCTCAAGGTAGACACTTACGTTCTTCCTGCCCGTGGGCGAGACGATACCCTAGCAATGTGCTCATTTAACTTTTGCCCAGCCGTGAACTCCCATCCTCATTTTTATGTAGCAGGACATTGGTTACAATTTCGAAAGGTGATCCCTACACCGCAACAGTGTAGAAATTGCTGGCGTTTTGGGCCCATCCAGCGAAATATTGCAGATCTATCGCCGAATGCCCAGTCTGTGGTGCTGATGACCATTCTAATACGTCTTGCAATCGACCTCCCTCTTGCCTTAAATTTGTCATGAGGCTCACCCTTCGTACTCTCGCCGTTGTCAAGTCTACTTAAACGAGCGGAAATCCGTTACCTCAAAGAGGCAGAAGGTCTCCCTTATGCCATGGCAGTTTCTCATCTCCGCCTCCAAGGAACTCCCTTTCGTGTTCTTATTCCCGTGTTTCAAAACGCCCCCCACTTCTGGTATCCCATCTTCTGCACCCACCTCTGTGGTTTCCTCTCCATAGTCACTCCTGTAGCTAATTCTTTGTTTGTCCTCGGCTCAGACGTCCCTACTTCAACGTCTCGGTCTGATCTTGCTTTTTTCGTGTTCTCTCTCACAAGCCTCAGTAGCGACGAGATCTCGTATGACAACCTCCTCCCAATCATCCCCTCTATTTCCCTCAAAAGTCAAAAAAAGGCCCTTTAAAACACCTCCTACCCATCTTCCACCTCCTCATTTTCCCTTCCCTGTCTCTGACCTGGTTTCTTCCCCCCTTCACTGGCTCTGTTACAAGTGTAGAGGTTCACCCTCCTCCTTGTACTGTAAACCTTTTCCCCCCTGTTCCCTCCCAAGTTTTTTCCTCTTCTACCACCTCCCAGGTTTCTGCCTCTTCTGTCCCCTTTCACACTTCTCCAGTTCCCTCCACCCTTCCGTCCCCCCCTACCTTGTACAGTCCATTACAGTTCCAATCTTTACTCATCCTCCCCCTACCATTTCCAATATTGTCCCCCCATACGACGTCTCTGAATTCTGAAACACTTGAAGCAATCTCTGAATATATTGCAGAGACCAAACCATCAATGGACACTGATCCACCTCCGCTCCTTCTCTCTCCTCTACTCCATCTGCACAACTCCTTTCTTAACAGCGCCCGTTCCTTCGCTGCTTAACGTTTTCCACTGCCTCCGCATGTGGACTTTTCAAACCCTCTATCCGTAGGAACCCTTAAACCCGCGGATTTCAGGTATCTTTATCATTGCCAATCATGGCCTATTTACAGTGGAATATACGCGGCCTCAGGGGGAATCGGGTGAGCTTCAGATGTTACTCCCCCCAGTTTTCCCCTGTTGGTGTTTGCTTACAGGGAAACCAAAAATTTCACTCTGCTGTTATCTCTCCCATCTCAGGGTATAATTTATTGTATTCTTCAGATCCTTTTCCTGATGGGAAACCTTTAATGAAAGTGCCCTTCTTCTACGCACTGATATTCCGTACCATCAGCTATTTGTTCGTACTTCGCTGCATTACACAGCAAGCCCGTATCCACTTGCATAGGTGGTATACGCTCTGTTCTTTATATCTCTCTCCTTCTCGGGCATTATCTATTCCGGATATGCCTTTCTTGTTTCGTCATTACCACCACCGATTCTGTTACTTGGTGATTTTAATGGGCCCACCATTTCCTCTGGGGGGGGGGTCTCACTGTGATTTTCCCCTGGCATTCAGTTAGAGGCTTTTCTTGCCACCCACCCCCTCCATGTTTTAAATACAGGTACTCACACCCATTTTGATCCTCGGACTCACACTCTCTCTTGCATCGATCTCTCAGTCTGCTCTTCCTCCGCCGCATTAGACTTCACTTGGTCTGTTCTTCCGGACTTACATGACGGCGATCATTTCCCAATCATTCTTACTTCCCCTTCATATTCACCACCTCTTCGCATCCCATGCTGGCAATTTGATCAGGCAAATTGGAACCTTTACTCACACCTAACTGTTTTTAGAGAGGTTCCTTCTTCGTCGTCCATCGATGAGCTTTTACACCTCTTCTCGTCCTTCAATTTAACCGCAGCTTCTCATTCTATACCCCAAACTTCGGGCAGGCATTCTCAGAAATGCGTGCCTTGGTGATCTCCTGCTTGTGCTCGTGCAGTACGTTTGAAACGCTCTGCATGGGGCAGGTCTTCCATTGCAGTGTCTTCCATTGCAGACACTGAAAGGCTCCAGGCGGACATCAACCAAATCTTTCAGTGGGCTGCAGAAAACAATATGAAGTTCAACGATGAGAAATTTCAATTACTCAGATATGGTAAACATGAGGAAATTAAATCTTCATCAGAGTACAAAACAAATTCTGGCCACAAAATAGAGCGAAACACCAACGTCAAAGACCTAGGAGTGATTATGTCGGAGGATCTCACCTTCAAGGACCATTTAACATTGTATCAATCGCATCTGCTAGAAAAATGACAGGAAAGGATAATGAGAACCTTTTAAAAATAGGAGGCCAAGCCCATGATGACACTCTTCAGGTCACTTGTTCTATCTAGGCTGGAATATTGCTGCACTCTAACAGCACCTTTCAAGGCAGGTGAAATTGCCGACCTAGAAAATGTACAGAGAACTTTCACGGCGCGCATAACGGAGATAAAACACCTCAATTACTGGGAGCGCTTGAGGTTTCTAAACCTGTATTCCCTGGAACGCAGGAGGGAGAGATACATGATTATATACACCTGGAAAATCCTAGAGGGACTAGTACCAAACTTGCACACGAAAATCACTCACTACGAAAGCAAAAGACTTGGCAGACGATGCACCATCCCCCCAATGAAAGCAGGGGTGTCACTAGCACGTTAAGAGACCATACAATAAGTGTCAGGGGCCCGAGACTGTTCAACTGCCTCCCAGCACACATAAGGGGGATTACCAACAGACCCCTGGCAGTCTTCAAGCTGGCACTGGACAAGCAACTAAAGTCAGTTCCTGATCAGCCGGGCTGTGGCTCGTACGTTGGTTTGCGTGCAGCCAGCAGCAACAGCCTGGTTGATCAGGCGCTGATCCACCAGGAGGCCTGGTCACAGACCGGGCCGCGGGGGCGTTGACCCCCGAAACTCTCTCCAGGTAAACTCCAGGTATAGAACCACAGAGAGACTTCTTGAATTTAAGCAGAAGTGTGCGATCGCTCGCCGTGTCATCCGTGACGCTAAACGCACTTGCTGGTGAGATTATGTCTCCACCGTCACCTCTGCTTCCTCTATGAGTACAGTCTGGAAAAAAGTACGAAAACTGAGTGGTAAATATTCTCCTGACCCGGCTCCTGTTCTGCGGGTTGCCGGTGTTGATATAGCAAACCCACTAGATGTTGCCAATGAAATTGGCAATCATCTGGTCCGTATTTCTCAGGGACTCCATCTATGCCCCTCATTTCTTTCCTCAAAGTCTGCCAGAGAGTTATCACCCTTGGACTTTTCTTCTCTGAGAAGAACAGTATAATGTGCCTTTTACACTTCAAGAACTGGAGGCAACACTCTCAGCTTGCCGATCATCGGCAGCTGGGCCCGACGACATCCATATTCATATGCTAACATTTACATCAGTCAGCCCTTGCAGTCCTATTACGCCTTTACAATCTTATTTGGTCACAAGGAGTTCTTCCACAGCTGTGGAAATCCGCCATTGTTCTCCCTTTCCGCAAACCAGGCACTACGGGACATGAAACCTCCCACTATCGTCCCATTGCTCTTACCAGTGCAGTTTGCAAAGTGATGGAACGCCTAGTAAATAGACGTTTAGTGTGGTATTTAGAGACACACAACAGTCTCTCCACTCGTCAATATGGCTTTCGTAAGGGACGTTCTACCATAGACCCCTTACTACGCTTGGATACGTATGTTCGTAATGCCTTTGCGAATAACCACTCAGTTATTGCCATATTTTTTGACCTTGAGAAGGCATATGACACAACCTGGAGGTATAATATTTTAGTCCAAGCCCACTCCTTAGGCCTTCGAGGCAATCTACCATCCTTCCTTAAGAACTTTTTAACTGACAGGCATTTCCGTGTTTGGGTTAATAATGTGCTCTCCCCGGACTTTATCCAAGCTGAAGGTGTCCCCCAGGGATGTGTTCTGAGCACAACACTTTTTCTCCTTGCTATTAATGATTTGGCCTCTAGTCTTCCATCAAATATTTGGTCATCACTCTATGTTGATGACTTCGCTATTGCCTGTGCAGGCGCTGACTGTCACCTTATTACAGTTTCTCTCCAGCATGCAGTCGACCATGTTTCCAATTGGGCCACCACACGTGGGTTTAAATTTTCCAGCACTAAAACCCACCAAATTACTTTCACTAGACGCTCTGTCATCTCCTATCATCCTTTGTACCTCTATGGCTCCCGTATCCCTGAACGTGATACAGTCAAGTTTCTAGGCCTCTTCTTTGATCGTAGGTTATCCTGGAAACCTCACATTACCTCTCTGAAGGCAACTTGCCACAGCCGGCTGAACCTCCTTAAAACCCTTGCTCATCTTTCATGGGGAGCTGATCGTCGAACCTCCTTCGCTACATTCCACCCTTATCTTATCGAAACTTGATTATGGTGACCAGATCTATTCAGTGGCATCTCCTGCTACTCTCTCTAGCCTTAACCCCATTCATCACCAAGGATTACGTTTATTCCTTGGTGCTTTTCGCTCTTCCCCTGTCGAGAGCCTCTATGCAGAAGCGAACGTTCCATCCTTATCCGATCGCCATGATGCCCATTGCCTTCGCTACTATGTACGCTCTCATGATCTCCGCAATCCTTCCATTTATAGAATGGTCACTGATATTAGTAGACATTCTTTATTTGTTCGCCGCCCCTGTTTACTCCGTCCCTTCTCTCTTTGCCTTCATTTGCTCTTGTCTTCTCTTCAATTACCACCTTTCTATGTACATGTAGCATCTCACTTTTCCCTACCCCCTGGGAAGTTCCAGCTGTTCGAGTCTGTTCTTTCTCTCTCCCTTGCTCGAAAGCCCAACTGTCTATGGTCGCTTCCCGCTCTCATTTTCTTGACCACTTTCACTCTCATTCTCATGCCATTGCTGTGTACACAGATGGCTCTAAGTCTTCTGACGGCGTAGGATTCGCAGCAGTGTTTCCGGACAGCGTCGTACAAGGGCATTTACTATCTTCAGCTAGTATTTTTACTGCTGAATTGTATGCCATCCTTACAGCACTTATCCGTATTGCATCTATGCCTGTGTCATCATTTGTGGTTGTCTCAGACTCCCTTAGTGCTTTACAGGCTATACAGAAATTTGATACACCTCACCCCTTAGTCCTCCGTATCCAAACTTTGGCTACGCGCATCTTTACCAAGCATAAAGATATTGTTTTTTGTTGGGTCCCTGGTCATGTTGACGTACAGGGCAATGAACAGGCAGACACTGCTGTGCGGTCAGCAGTACATGACCTACAAGTTTCATGTAGAGGTATTCCATTTACGGACTATTTTGCTGCAATATCTTCCCAACTTCACACCCGTTGGCAACAACGTTGGTCTACTATGCTCGGCAACAAACTTCAATCTATTAAACCGAGTATAGGTTACTGGCCGTCTTCTTATCACCAGTGTCGAGGTTGGGAGACTACTCTCTCCCGTCTTTGCATTGGCCATACTCGTCTTACTCATGGATATCTCATGGAGAGGCGCCCTGCTCCTCTCTGTGAGAATTGCCAAGTTTCATTATCAGTCAGCCACATTCTGTTGAACTGCCCACTTTATCAACGAGCACGCAGAATTTACCTCCGTCGTCGTCTTCGCTCTGCTGCTCTCTCTTTACCTTCCCTTCTCACTGATGGACCCACCTTTCATCCAGACTCTCTCATTGACTTTTTGACAACAACTGACTTACTTCACAAATTCTGATACCTTCAGCCCTTTCTACTTCAATCTCTTGCTACCCCCTACCCCCGTACTATCCCCTGCCCCGCTGTTTTCTGTAACCTACTGATCATCCCTCCTCTCTTCTGCCATCCAATACCCTCGCTTCCTTCCCTACCCTGCAGCGCTGTATAGCCCTTGTGGCTTAGCGCTTCTTTTTGATTATAATAATAATAAATGATAGTGGGTGGGTCTAGCATTAAGTTACGATTACAGCAATAAATGATAATGGATATAACAGACAACACAGTAAGGTCTCTCTATGGAACTTCTAGTGTGATTTTTTCTAAATGCAGTTGAAAGAATGAATTCTAAGCTGGATTGCGCTGTATAGCCCTTGTGGCTTAGCGCTTCTTTTTGATTATAATAATAATAATAATAAGCTGGATTGCACATACTATGAAGGGCTCTTCATGTACTATTCAATTATGAAAGCACTTTGAATCATTTGTCTAAGGAATTGAATCTGTTTTCAAATTCCTTGAATCAAACCAGAATGCCTAACACTCCATAGTTAATTTCTCACTCCAGTTTAGATTTTTTATTTTAATAGATGCAATTTAATGCTCAGAAGACAGTCACTTATGATGCAGTCAACTCCTTGATCATATAAAATATAAATCACATAAGATGTAACTCTGAACTGAGTGCTTTAACATTAACATACATTGTATATTTTCATGGGACAGATTTTTGTTTTTTGTAATCCCACACTGAGCTGATGGGATTCACAGAGCACAAGGCCCCTCAAGAAAGGTACCTTGATGCTGGTGAAGTGCTCTTGATCCAAGGAGCAGGACTCAACCTTCCCTACCTGAGATGAAACCTGAATGCCTACCATTCTCCTGGTGCTATATGTATCCCCCATACATTTGGTGCTTTCCCTATGAATAAAATAAGTTCAAGGACTACTACCCTTCCAAGAAGGAATATCTAAATGCTGGTGGAGAGTTCTTGACGAAAGGAAGTGGAGTTACCCTCCTCTTCCTTACATCAAACTTGATTACCTCCCATTCTTCCTTGGCATTGTACGACCCTTATGTTTCCCGTGAATGTAAAAATGACATGAATAAGAATGGGGGAATTACCAACGAAACGTTAGGTAAATGGACACAGGTGTAACTAATGTGGCATTTTATTGTGGCAAAGTTTCGCTCTCCAGGAGCTTTGTCATGCCTGAAACAGCTGGATAAAGCTCCTGGAGAGTGAAACAGCCACAGTAAAATGCCACATTTGCATCTGTGCCCATTTACTTAAAAAACAGGATGCATTTCACTGTCATATTGTTGGAAAAGAGAGTGTATTGTATAGCACTAAGCCCATTTTCATCCAGCACAAGGAGTGGTGGATACTCAAACCTGTGTCCATGAAACGTTGTCTGGTCTCGGGCAAGTCATTTGTTGGATTTTGCAGGCGATTCTGCTTTAATGCGGTCCGAGCGGAGGCATTTTGGTGTGTCTTGTCCATAAGAAGAGACTTGGCTTCGTAGAATCCTTTCCTCCATGTCCAGAGACACTGCTTCTTCGTGTTCGGCTCCAGAGTACATCATGATTTGAGCATTGTTATAGCCATCATTGAACTCCCGTCTATTTAACGAGTCATTATAGGATCCAACCATGAAGAAGTCCTCATTGTTTGTCTCATTTTTTCGTTTTGGTTTTCGCTGACGTACCAGACAGGCAATGACGACTATACCCAACACCAGTACAGCAACACCTGTTCCAACTCCTATGAAGAATGGCATTTCGTTGGTTTGCTCAAGGTAACCAGAGGAATTTTGTAAGGCAAGTTGAGTTTCATTTGTGATAGCTTCAGTGTAGGATAAATTTACAATTAACGAACTCACTTCAGGTATAGCAGTTGTCAATGGAAATGGTATATTTTTTCCATTTCTTGCCTGTATAGGGCTTTCCTCCGTATTACTTGTGAATGCCTGGGTAATTTCTGTTTGTTCTGAATAGGGTGTACTTTCTGCTTCTGTTTCTTGAGTAGAGATTTCTGGTGCATTACTTGTGGATGTTAGTGTTCTGTCCGTATTTTCTGTGGTTATTGTGTCTACCGTATTTGTGAATTCTGTTGTACCGGGCATACGTGATGTTCTGTTTGTGGCAGATAATTTTGATAAGGTCTTTGTTGCCTTCGTCTCTGAATTAGAGTTTTCAGTGGATGCATTTAGGACAGCACTGTTAGCTGGGGTAGGATGATGAAATGTTGGAGGATGATGTGTTGGAGGACGTGCTGAAGGAGGGAGTGCTGAAGTAGGGAATGTTTGTCCAGTGGCACCAGTAGATCCACCTGTAGGAGCCATTGAAGAATCCGAAGTGATCGAGGAGTCTAACATCAGGCTGAACATCTCTTCTTTGGCATCCTCCTCATCTAAAAATAAAATATTATTACTTCCATCTACATCTAAACACACAACCTGGAAATTATTTCCAAGCTGGAATGTGCATAGTGTATATAAATACCTAGTTCAACTTTTTTTTTTTCAACAAATTGGCCGTCTCCCACCGAGGCAGGGTGACCCAAAAAGAAAATGTATACCTGTAAATTAATTTCATACAGTAATCATATATTCTGTGTAAAACGATGAATACACCATAATAATAAGGTTATATTAAATATTAATTGCGGGATGGGAGTTAGAACAATCAACATATAAAGTTGATTCATTAACGAGTCTGGCAGCAGAATAAAACGTTACAGTTTAACACCTAGTGGAAATAGGGTGTAAAATGTTCTAGAATAAGCTAAGTGGGACCCTCACTAGAAAAAATCGACTACTTGACTGGAGAAAGTCATTGTAGTGAGACCCTGTGTATAGGTGTGAGGTAACAACCAGTAAGGCTCAAGTGCTTCAGTGACAGGGAAGATTCACGCTTCAATTAGAGGGATTCAGGATACCAACCATACAACAGACACCAGGATATAGCACACTGCACCTGTGGGTTTTATGACTCTCCTGCCATGGGTTCGAATCCCACTCGTTCTGTGATTTACCAGGACAGATAAGTACCCATTAGTCTATTTAGATAGAGCAAGTTAGTTCCTAGATGGATAGTTAATGTGAGCATCACCCAGAGCCAAGAGGTGTTCTAAGGTGCGCTAACTGATTGGGCTCAAAGCCTCTCGACCAGAAACTGCAGCGCTATATAACCCTTGTGGTTTAGCGCTTCTTTTTGATTATAAAAATAATCGACCAGAAACTAGAGGAAACTCGCAGCATATGTACACTTAGAGACATACACCTCGCATTATACATATCTTGTACGTCTTTTTTCAAGGAAGTTTGGTTGGTTAATGGGGTTTAAGGCATTTCAACTACACGAGGGACATTAAAACTGCCTCCCACCTTGTCACCGCCAGTCAAAAATACTTTAATCCATAAATTAAGGAATACAGCAAACTCAGTTATACACACACGAAGACATAGACCTCTCAATGGCCTTTTAAGGCTGGATGGTCAATTGGATGTAAAACCTATCGACCACACGAGGGTCATCGAGACTGCATGCAACCTGCCCACTACCAGTCAGGATTAATCTCTAAAACTGGGATTAAACTGAACTCTCAGTGTATGTACACTAAGACACATTCACTTCTTGACGCTTATATCCCTTTTCAAACATCTGATAATTTCTTGCTTTCCGATTTTATATATAAACCCTGAATAGCCCCATGAGTCCATGTAGCTGTAGCTCACAGATTAAGCTACATTTTTAAATAATAATCTTTCATATATAATACTGTCTAGTACCAATATCATTACGATGAGTGCGTTGCTGAAGTAAATATTTATTTCCTGTGGGATATTCATGATAACACTGTATTTCCGGGGTTGAAAAAATAGTCAAATTTAAATAATATAAATCCCACTAGTAAATTAATGAGAATTACACGAAGGAAGATCTACAGAGATGTTAACTATTATACTCAAAAAAATATTAGGCTTTGTGTGAATAATCCAGGCATGGAAGGAATTTTGATACTGTGGAAGAGCTCATACTCCAGGGAAACGGAGCATCAAACAGATTACCTTCCATTCCCAAGGCTTTGCATGAAGGGCTCTTGATACAAAGAACTATAGCTGCTCTTGATACAAAGAACCATAGCTGCTCTGCCTTTTCCAGGATCCAGGTCCATTACTTCCCATCCCCGAGGCTTCGCATGACCCCATGCGCACGCAGCACATCCCCATGATTATAACTCACGTAGGTGTAATAGGATTTACGTACCAGGGTGACAAGAGACATAAACTAGTTCGTCCCGAAGGTATAGATCAGTGTCCCTTTTATAAGAGCACAGGATGTCCTCCGAGTCCGTCTGAATTACCTGTAGAATATCGGTTCGTCTCACCTGAGAAACAACATAGCTGAATTAGTCATCGAATTCTTTTTATTTTATGGACTGAAAAGTAAATTTTGAGTTTTGAATTGAGCTTCATTTTTTTAATCAAACCTGATTACGTTCTATTCCCCAGGGACTGTTTGACCTCCAGGGACTAAGATTGTCCCAGTGTCGGTGTCAAAGGGTGGCAAGGGGGACTGCAACCCCCCAAAGTCCCTCAAATAATAATAATAAAAATAACGCTGCTTGAAAACTAAGTTTCTAGCCTCTTCTTGCAACCAGTTCGCCACACCTAAATTCTCCTATATAAAAATTCTGGAGCCACCCCAGCAACAATCTGCCAGTCTTCAGGTGACTTAAACATACACATACACACACCTCGAAGATGGACTTAGGTGGGAGGGCACAGTGTGTTTGGTTGCCACTGGGCAAGAGGGTGGCCGTAGGATTGGTCATGACCCACACCTGTTTGGTCACATGTAGCACTTTCACCAGCGTTCTGTCTTGTTCTCTCGCTCCACATGCTGCAGGCAAATGGAAAAAAAACGTATTAAATGTATTTCTGTGGCTGCACTATCCGAGGAAAATATCCCCTGAGTTGCATAACCCCAGCCCTCTCCACTTCAATGCATTTGCCCTCATAGCCCCGGTGACCCGTGGCCTGGTGGCAAAAGCTCTCGCTTCATACGGTGAGGGTACGGGTTCGATTCCCGGCGAAGGGATGGAAACATTGGACGTGTTTCCTTACACCGGTTTATGTTCACCAGGTACCCAGTAAAATGGGTACCTGGGTTTTAGTCGACTGGCGTGGGTCACATCCTGGGTTAAAACTGACCTAATTTGCCCGAAATGCTCTGCATAACAAGCGAATTTCAATATAGTAGTATGTCATTGATGTCAGCTAGGCTTGTATACCTTGTACATGTTTTTTTTTTTTTTCAACAAGTCGGCCGTCTCCCACCGAGGCAGGGTGACCCAAAAAAAAAGAAAGAAAATCCCCAAAAAGAAAATACTTTCATCATCATTCAACACTTTCACCACACTCGCACATTATCACTGTTTTTGCAGAGGTGTTCAGAATACAACAGTCTAGAAGCATACACATATAAAGATACACAACATATCCCTCCAAACTGCCAATATCCCAAACCCCTCCTTTAAAGTGCAGGCATTGTACTTCCCATTTCCAGGACTCAAGTCCGACTATATGAAAATAACCGGTTTCCCTGAATCCCTTCACTAAATATTACCCTGCTCACACTCCAACAGATCGTCAGGTCCCATGTACATGTACTTGTAGTAAATAAAGATATGATTATTATTATTAATAGTGTAGGATATACCAGCGTTTAACGTTTGGAGACAACCAAAAGAATCATTTGATACTATACCCTACAAGAGACTAGGGCAGAAACTTATGGTACTGGCAGGAATAATGGGGAACGAACTGCGGTGGACCAAAGAGTGATTGTCCAAGAATGGTTCTCGTAATGTGGAAGCGTACGTAACCAGTGGGATTCCGCGAGAATCGGCATTAGGACCTTTGCTGTTTTTGGTTCATGTGAACGACATACCAAATGGGACTGAGTCAGATATATTCCTGTTTGCCGATGTTTCAAATCTAATGCGAATAAAAACAGATGGGAGAGGAAAGGCTAGAAGCGGTCCAGAATAAATTTTAAGATTGGTCAGATAGGTGGTTGCCTGAATTTAGCCCCCAGAAAATGTAAGGGTATAATTTAAGACTGGAGGAGCTAGAAGATCCAACATAGAGATTAGACTCGAGGAACTGAAGCTGCAGACATCATTCAACGAGAAAGACATAGGGGTGAGCAGAGTCTAGTGTATCGCGGAGGCTCACGTCAGCCGAATAAATTCTGCTGTCAATGCGCGTCTGGTAAGTCTAAGAGTGGCCTTCAGGAATCTCAGCAAAAAGACATTCCGGATCCTCTACGCAATATATATGTGATGACCACGTTGGAGTATGCAGTACCGGCATGGAACCCACACCTAAAATGTATGTTATAAAATTATAGAAAATGCAGAGGTACGCAACGAGATAGTCCCAAAGATAAGGGGTACAAGGCACGAGGAGAGGCTAACATTAATGAATCTAACAATATTGGAGGACAGAAGAACCAGGGGGGAAATACTCTTTGGGGGTAGATATGGATAGGCTGCTTGAGAAGCGGGTAAAAGGCACTCATGGGAAGAGCTGGAAGTTACAGACACAGATGGGCCACAGGGATGTTATACAGTATTCCTTCAGTCTCAGGGTCGTAGGGAAGTGTAAGAACCTTGATGAAGTAGTAGAGGAAAGAGGACCCACACCTAGAGTTAAGAATAAGTACTTATTACCCACGAGTAGGGAGGAAATCTGGCATGGAAAGATGCTAGGAATCGACCTGTGCAACCACAAATAAGCGAGTACATACACAAACACATAAAACTTACACTTAGCCAAAACAAAGAGACCAGACGTTTGATAAGTGTTTCTCAAAGTTAATTTACTGATATTTCTGTCGTCACTGCGTGTGCTATCACTGTTACTCTCCCCACAAGCAGTATCCACCATCACCACCACCATCACCACCACCACCACCACCATCCCCAACACCCCTCCGACTTCTCTATTCACCGCGACGGTCCAGTGTCCTCGACCCATCACAGATAACACACACCAACAAGAGTATATCAGCAAACAAATTCTCCTCCTGTTCAGTCAGACTAATGAAAGCTTCTCCATCTAGACAGCTATCCGATAGTGTCTGTCTTTCTGTCTGTCTCCCGGGAATATTTAACTTTATGGAGCTATTGTTTTATACAGGACCAACTAGAGCACGACACGTTGAAACGACTGTAACATAGAGACTGAGGAAGGGCAGGTCGTGACTGGTTATTAGTCATGAGTACTTGTGAGTTGACAGGAAACTGAACATCCTCTGGACGCAAGCGGGAGCTGTTCTTGTAAAAAAATAGGAAAGAGTTGATAAAGATAATAATAATAATAATAATAATGATAATAATAATAATAATAATAATAATAATAATAATATTATTATTATTATCATTGTTATTTTTATTATTCCTATTATTATTATTACTGTTATTATTATTATTATTATTATTATTATTATTATTATTATTATTATTATTATTATTATTATTATTATTATTTTCATTATGGTTATAATCATGTTCACAGTCATTATCATACCATCGTCATAATTAACATTATCCTAATAACTTCCATTGTTATAACTTTAATAATCATCAGTCATCATCATTATCATCATCAGAGTTGAGAATTTTTATATAGAGGTGGACAGGTATACGAGTGGGTGTGAGTTGAACCTGCCTAGCGGGCCAGTAGTCCTGCTGTAGTGCTCCATCCGTGAACCAGCGTGTTGGAAGTGTGCCATTATCATCTAGCAAGTAGTTCAGTACTGAGCGAAACATCAGCCACGTTTCACCTTTCGAGTTCTGGATTTGTTGTCAACAATATTATTAGTTCGCGTTATTCCCTCCAGAGTAACAAACTTCGTGTTCACTGGAGTGAACACGAACTTGAACAACTCGAAATTACCTGATATT